CATTCCGGCTTCCCTCTTTCTGGTAAGCCACTGTTCCTCCTGGTTTTATTTCTTGTTGCTCTCCAAGAAGTTTTGCTTCATTATTAATCACCATTGCTGTTTTACTAAAGTATTTGGATAGAGGTTTATTTATTTTATATTTTTTTAATTAAGGTGTGAATTGTTTTACCTGTTTTAAGATATTATATAAATTTTTCTTTCCTCTCATTGCAATATACAATTGTTAATTTCTGAAATTCCTCGCTCCTCTTTCATTTTTGATTTCATTGTTTTTACCAGTTATCAAACAGAAATTTCCGACTCTAGAGCAAGAACTGAACTGATTCTCACCAAGGTAATCTCTTTCTCCTTCTCTTTTTGCTATGTTTTGTTACCCACAAAAGGTATTATGGGTTTTTAATTCTTGGAACTCTAGAAAATGAAAACCTTAACATCATTTTGATAGGTAAGAAAACCCACCATTTTGATAGCAATTTGTTAGAAACCATTTTTTTATTCTTCAAGTCAATGCCTCACTTCTTAAGGGTTTGTTTAGTTGCTCACTTCTAATTCTGAATAATCTGAACTACTAACCCCAAATCTTGACAAAACTTTAGCTTTATGAAACATTCATATATGTGGATGTATGCTTAAGTATTTGGTTGTAATCTTTGTTTAAAAAAATAATACAGTTAATTTTATTTAATTAACCTTGGGTTTAATTTTAGTTAGATTTGCCCATTAACATTAATTTCAAGTTTGATTCTTTTTTTGTTGCCTACTAATTGTTATACATAATGCTTTAACTAGAAAATGAGTTATGCATTATCACAGGGATGGAAACTCAAAGGAGCATGATCATCCAAAAATGGATACTTCGCACAAGGTAAGCTTTAATTGTTTAAAATTTTAATTTTGTTTGGTTTTACAACCTTCAAAAATTCTTCTTCCTTATAACAAGACTCTCTTAGTCTTAATAAAAAAAATTATTCGCTCCCCTTACAAAATTTGAGTTTAATTCTATTTGGAGGTTTGTATGATTTATCGGCATTCTCAATTGATCCTTCTATACTATTATTTGCTTTTCTATTCATTTGTTTACTTTAGTAATGCATACATAATTCAATTGACCATAATAGTTATGTTCAATTCTTCTTAATTCATAGCTATTGATTTTCCTATTTTTCATATGTATTTTGATGCGATTTTTCATGTTACAGTTTCTTTTGATGCAATTATTCTTCATTGCAATTTCTTTGGATTTCTCATATGCATTTTGATGTAATTTTGAAGCGAATTTAAGCGAGTGATTTTGTTGCAGGTCATTGATCCATATTGGAAACATTGGGTTACATTGCTTCTACCAGTGTGTCATTGGTTGGCTCTCTCATGTTAAATTATTTATTTATTTATTTTGGATTAGCTAGGATGATTCTTTTGTATCATAATGTTCATTGACCTTTATTTGAAGGAATTTAAACCTGATAAAGCGATATGGTTACCAGTTGTAATACTAATTCAATAACATTCTTTTATTGAAGGTTATCACATTCTAACTTGCTATAGTGTATAGGTGTGTTATTTTGACGTTGAAAAAAATCTAAAATTTGCTATTTAGACTTTTAAGTTTAGCAAATATTTCTAGATTCTTTGCATATGCTACATTCAAATACATAATTCATTTTTTGGACTTTAATTTTGAAATTTGCTATTTGAAATTTATAAATGCTTTTGCTAATTCAATGTGCAGAAACAATTTCAATTTCTTATATGTGAAGTTTTAAGTCGGAGTAACATTACCATTTTGAATTGATTTATTATCATTGAGTTTCGTAGCACGTGACACCAAAAAAATTGTTGGTAGTGCCTTCAGGCACGGGTCATCCCTAGTTCATCTATATTTCAAAAAAATATTACAAATACATGAACAAATTTAAGATTTTCATTATTAATATTAATCAAATTTATTACTAATTTGTAATTTATTTTCAAACTTTCTACTGATTTGTAATTATTTTTAAAAATATATTAAATTTATAAATATTTTAACATTTTATATTCTCTATCAATGTTATGGAGTGTTTTGGAAATATAATAAAAAGTTAGCTTTTGACTTTTTACCAGACTTTTTAAATTTTTTAAAAAGTGATTTGAGAAGTTGGTAAAAAAAATTTTATTTTTTGTTTTTAGATTAATATTTATTTATAGTGTCACATCAGATTAAAATAATCAAAATATCCCCCCAACTTAAGAAATTCATACCCCAACCTTCAAAGTGTAAACATAAAGGGTAGTTACGTAATTTTACAATCTGCTTTTAGGTCACTTCCCATTCAAAAACACAACTTTGGCGTTTTATGAGATTGTAAAATTCAATTTTTTACTTAGGTTCTCAAAAGGACAAAACAACAATAAGGTCAAGTTTGGCATTCTCAAAAAAATTCAAAAAGTCATTATTTTATTTAAGTCACATCATCTTATTTAAGTCGCATCACCTCTCTATCACATCACTTCAAACCCAACCCATACCCAACCCATATTTCATAAAAAGTCAAAAAGTGCACTTATTTAGGACATCCCAAACAACCTCTAAATTTCAAATTTTAATTTGTTAAACCATTTGGTCTTGCCTTTTATTTTGTAGACTAATCTATACTATATATAACTGTAACAAGCCCGTGGGCTCCCGTGCTACAGCTCGGACTCGACTTGTCGTCACGGTTCTAAATCTGAACCAAAGAGTCCAAATCCGGCAAATCGTTTTGAGAAAACAGATTTTTGAAAGAAGTGCCAAACATGGACTGCTTTGCCAGATACAGAGTCGCCACCTAAATATTTTATTTTGGGAAATTTACTCAGCTCTGGCGTATTTCTCAATTCTGGCCATGAGCTCCTCCATGTTTTTTGGCAATATCTTTGCCAATGACTTTCGTAGTGCCCAATCATCTTTCAGGACGTTCTTGAAAGACATGACCGCCACCTCTTGGTTGTATTTGGGTATTCGATTGAACACCTCATAATACCTTTTTGCGTAGGCCCTGAGGCCTTTATCCTCACTGATTCTCTGAGCCATCAGGGCGTCCACCCTTAATGGCTGTAGTTTGTTTGTCACGAACCTGGCCACGAACATCTCGGCCAGGCCTTCCCAGGTCTTCACACTTCCTTTCGGCAATTTGTGAAACCAGTCCGATGCAATCTCCCCGAAGGATGAGGGGAACACCTTGCAGAGCAACGGCTTGTTCCCAGTGTACAGTGCCATCGAGTTCAGGTATAATCCGACGTGAAAGTTGGGGTTTGACTTACAATCGTATATCTGGAACCTCGACATACTGAATCTTTTCAGGGCCTCAACTTTGTCTAACTCTACCGAGAATGGTGTTCTCGGTTTAACTGTTGAAGTTACCTTGGCATGCTCTTGCTTCCTTTTGAGGTAATCTCTCAAGTCCTCTTTGGTCCGCCCAAGAGCTCGGCTATCTCCTGATTTTAGTCTCTTAGGTGCACTACTTTTAGCTTCGTTGTGAGCCCTTTTTTATCTTTCTCCATTGGTCGCATCGAAGCACAACTCCTACCTTTGAACGTAATTTACATACAAAAATTTAACTATTTATATTATTTTGTATAAAAATAAATTATTAATTTTTTACATGCCATGCATAGCACGGGTTAGCACTAGTTATAACAAATGAAAGTCCCTAATTTAAATAACAAATACTACAAATTAATATTTTTCATTGTAGTACAAATCAAATCCCTAATTTCAGCACAAACAACAGCAAACCAAAATCCCTACTTTTAATATAAATCACTACCAATTAAGGTTCATAATTTTAACATATCAAAATCTCTTATTTTAACATAAATAATAACAAATAAAAAAATTTTGCGAATCAAAACTTAACAAACTATAAATTGATACTCATAATTTTTATTTAAAAATAAAAAATCATAAATAAAGTTACTTGTAAATAATGAAGAGAAAGTACCAAAGTTGTAGTGTGATCCCCAATCTATCTTGTGTGATTTTAATCTGATCAATCATGAGTTGATAAATTATAAAGTAACAAAGAGGGATAAATAAAAAATAAATTAAAAAAAAAAGGGGGATGCACCAATAAATCCCAAATTAATAACTTATGCACTGTTTAGTCCTAAAAGTTTTCTTATAGACTGAAAGGTCCCATTACAATGTTAATAACATCAGATACAATGTTAATAACATCAGAGTCATGTTACAAACATTGGATTTCAAACATCTAATGTTCATCAAATTTCAATAATGTTTGAAAATATAGGATGAAAAACATTTAATGTTCATCAGATTTTAATAAATTTTGAAATTATAGAATGAAACATCAGATCATTTACATCATTCACATCATGTTGATGTAAAAATGGGATTAAATGGAGCATAAGAAAACTTTTAGGACTAAATGATTCAACGTTTCAAAAAGTAGGACTTATGGGTAAATTTTCCTAGAAATATAGTTCATGTTGCTAAATGACCTACTTGGACTAAGATAATTTTATAATCAATATTTCAAATGACAAATTTATGGAAAAAATGAATGTATGAACTTAGGTATTAGATAGTTATCATATTCAAAATATTTGTTAGTTGTAACTCCCTATTATATTTTAAATTTATAAGAATTTTTTATTTTATAATAAAAAAATAAGTATAATAGATTATTTAAATTATAAATTCCCGTGCATAGCACGGGTTGCCACTAGTAAGTCCTATTTGAATGTTAAAAGCTCATTATAGGCTTTTTTTAGATTTCCTTCATTTCCGAACATCAACAACATCAACTACATCATCAAAACATCATCAAACGTCATCAAACATCAACAACGTTCTATTCATATTTTTTTTATCAAAACAAACATCACAACATCATCAAACATCAGTAATGTTCTGTTCATATGTTTTTATCAAAACAAACATCAGCAACGTCATCAAACATCAGCGACGTTCTGTTCATATAAAAACATCATCAAACGTCATCAAACATCAATATTCTCTTATCATCAACGTTCTGTTCATATGTGGTTTTTCTCAATTGTAGGAATCATCATTTGAGGGGTGCAAGAGAAATAGTGTCCGGTGGGTTTTCTAGTGGCGGTGTTGGGTTTGCATTTGTTGGGCTGTTCAAGGTGTCACAAGGTTTTTATGCTTGTTTATTCATATTTCTGTGTCGTTTGTTGCTTCTTATTTGTTTGTGGTAGTGATGTTCATTTTATGGGGGTGTTGTTTTGTTGGGCTGTTCAAGGTGTCACAAGGTTTTTATTTTTGTGGAGATGTTTTTGTGCTCTTTGGTTGTGTAACGTTCAGGAGTGGTTATGTGACGGTACTGTCTGGAAATTTTAGTGTATGATGTTCGCCTTTTAGACTGACAGTTTTTATGAGTTTACGAGGGTCGTTCAGTGTCATCATAATATGTGTGTAGTTTGGCGTTCATTTTCTCGGTGATGATTCGTTGTTCCTTGTTTTAATTTTTTTTTTGGTTGTGGTGTAGGTAACATTATGGTCTGGAAATGTTTGGTATATAGAATGACAGTTTTCATGAGCTTACGAGTGTCGTCTAGTGTCATCATTAGTGTTTTTGTTAATCGGTTAAGTGATTGCGTTGTTTTCATTTTTAACATCAGTAACGTTCTGTTCATATATTTTTATCAAAACAAACATCATCAAACATCAGTAACGTTCTGTTCATATAAAAAACATCATCAACGTCATCAAACATTAATGTTCTGTTATATTATATAAATATTAACGTTCTGTTATATTGAAATTACTTGATGTTTATACAATATAATAAACAAAAATACCATATCAAATATAAAAAAGACTAAATGATTTACAAAAAAAACACTCAGAACTAGATAGAGCAACATTTCTCAATATGAGATGTATGAATAATTTTTCCTTCTCAAAAGAGCACTATATTTATATATCACATATAGGGTAAGTGGAAGCAAAAGTGATACCATAATTGAAGAGTATTACATTAAATTATGGAAGAGAAGATGATGTCAACCATGTGAAATGCATTTAACTAATAACACCATAAAGACATTACTCATTGTGACATATTGTTCATCTCTCTCTTTCTAGCTTCTTTATTGATGAATACGCTGACTAACCGCACTAAATTACAGAAGCAACATAGACATATATAATAGTCCATAGGACCAAATTACAAGACTCCATGCTGGGTGTTTTTTTTTGAGTTGATAGTTTTTTTTTTTTTAACACCCATATTGGATTGTTTGGCACAATTTATTTATAATTTTTTTTTATTTAAAAAGTTTGTATTAAATTATTTGATCTAATTTTTACTCATAATTATTATGTACAAATAACTTAAATAATGAAAACAGGAAAATGAATATTTTTGACTTTTGCTTCCTGTGACATGAAATTTTTGCTTCTACTATTATTTTCGTTTGTATTAAATTTTAGGAATAATTATATCAATAGCCTATGTAATATACTTTATATGTCAATTTAACCACTATAATTTCAATTATATCAATTTTATCTTTTAAATTTTCACAATTTATCAATTTTGTCAAATTCATTTGTTAAGAAATTAGACAAAAATTAAAAATAAAATGGTTCATTCAAAAAAGGGAATGAATCTTTTAAAATTAGCTGTCAACTTTACAATCATTTTAAAGAAACTAAATGGATTGTTTGCCCTTAATTTCAATTCAATTTCTAAAGGAGTGTTATCAATGGAACAAAATCGGTACAATAAGAAAAATTCAAGGAGAAAATGATGCAATTAAAATTAAAAGGACTAAAATGATATAAGAGAGTACATGGACTAATGGTGTAATTTATCCTTAAATTTGTTAATGCTATACTTGGATTTTAAATTTCGAAGGGAAAAGATAAGAAAATGAATATATACATATATAAATATAAAGAAAAAAGGGCAAATTACATATACCCCCTTGAGGTTTGGCTAAATTACAAATACCTCCCTGAGGTTTGAGAAATTATAAATTTCCCTCTGAATGCTATATTTGCATAACAAATTATAGGGTAATTTGTTATGAAATATAAATCTCAGGGGGCAAATTGTTATGAAAATACAAATCTCAGGGGGCGGGATGTAATTTCCGAAACTTCATGAGGTATTTGTAATTTAGCCAAATCTCGAGGGAGGTATATGTAATTTGCCCAAGAAAAAAAGAAAACGAAATGAAAGATTTTATAAATTCGTTTATTTTGTTTGGTTGTTTCAGGAAATTGATAACAAAATGATAACAAAATGATATTCGTCCTGAATAATCCATATTATTTAGTTTGGTTGCTTATAAAATGTGAATATGTACTATCATATTTGAATCTATGATTTAAACATGAGTGCTGTTGGTTTGCTTTCTTCCCATTAAATATTGAGTGTGCCATTTCTATGGTGTAATAGAGTACAAAATTGCATCTTGTGTGGGATTTCAACCTTTGTCAATTTACATTGGTGCAAACACAATTATGGGTTTGATCGTATGTCAGACGTGCGACTCAATTCTCACATGAAAATATTATATATGTTATGACTTTACTTAATAGTCGACCTCACAAATTTATCTTTTTAAAGTTCAAGTCAAAAAGATGTCTCAAAAATTAAAGTGTCACGTGTTGTCTTATAAAATTCTTTCTATTTCTAACATAATTTGCATCACATCAGATGTGGGATGCCAACACTAAATTAGTCACTGAAGGGTTGGAGACCAATAGTTGACCTAGTGCACAAAGTGCTTCCTCATTAAATATGATGTTTTTCCATGTGTTTTCATTGCATAATGCAGCTTCTACTATGCTATAATTAAACCAGAGTTTGTGCTGTCTAAAGTGACACTAAAACAGTATAGAACATATCCCTTTCATTCTGGGGCATATACCCCTTCAATCAAGCACCCACCATGAACACTTCCAACCCAACTTTTCTTGTTGCTAGCAATGTTCATGTGAGAGACACATGACATGCATGACTAAACCATCAACTTTTTCAAATTTTGTCTCTTCATGTACCCATCTTTATAAAAATCAATAACACTAAGTACACAAAAGAAAAATAATATATGATTTAAATTTATTTTGAAATTACATTTTGAATAAATTTAAGTCTCAAATTATTTTTTTTAATATTTTTTTCCATACACATAGCATTATTGATAATAGACCCTTTGAGCTCGGTAGAAGAAAAATTCAATCATCCAATAATTCAAAGACAATTCATAGCTCATAATGTTTAATAATTCAAGACCCCTTGTCCCCAATTATGCTAAAATATTGCAGGCCAAGACAAAGTCCTTATCAACTTTGACCCCATTGGTCCTTTAGATTATTATTATTATCTACTAAGCCACTTTGTGTTGGCCTCATTTGCTCATTAAATATGTATACATATATATAACCCCTTTTTTTTTTTGGCTTAAAACAGTAAAGAAAATAAAGAAAAATGGCTCACTCTTTGATTCTTCAATTGTTTATCAGCTTTAGGGCGGTCATGGATAATAAACAATAATTGATTGACAATAAAAAAAACTTGAGAGCATCAACGTATTTTTTAGAATTTTTTAAACATGCCATTGACATTTATACATTAAAATAATATTGTGATTGGCATAATCTTAATTTTATCAATTTAAATTTTACACTTTTAATTGTGCTTTCATGTGGTCTCTCCGTCATTATCATTAGTATTTTGGACAGAAAAAGGACACGTGCAATTCACGTGGGCAAGAAAATAAAGAAAAATGGCTCACTCTTTGATTCTTCAATTGTTTATCAGCTTTAGGGCGGTCATGGATAATAACCAATAATTGATTGACAATAAAAAAAACTTGAGAGCATCAACGTATTTTTTAGGATTTTTTAAACATGCCATTGACATTTATACATTAAAATAATATTGTGATTAACATAATCTTAATTTTATCAATTTAAATTTTACACTTTTAATTGTGCTTTCATGTGGTCTCTCCGTCATTATCATTAGTATTTTGGACAGAAAAAGGACACGTGCAATTCACGTGGGCATGTGCCAATTTTTATGTCCAAAATGGTGATAGAAATTGATGGAGGATCCACATTGAAATTGAAATGCCATTGGAAATGTGAAATTTAGGACTGGTTTGGCAAGTGTAAAAAAAGTTAAAAAGTAAAAAAGTTACTAAAAAAGTTAAAAAGTTATCACTATTTATCAAAAAAAAAATTAATATACAAATATTAAAATATAACATCAACTTTTTGGCCCATCAATGTCTGACGTCATGCCAACGACAGGGAAAGGGGAAACAAAAAAAATACATGTGTACATTCACTAAGTTGGATGGTAAAGTTAGGGCCGTGGGGACCCACATAGGTCCCGTTTTGATAATCCAAACCGTGCAAGATGTAGAACTTGTCTAGTATTATATGTTTGTAAAAAATCACGTCTATCAAATATCGTTAACTACATGATCAAATCAGTTTTGTATAAAAATTTGATGGTGTAATAAATAACAGTTGACAAAAATAATTAACCCGATCAAATAGCTATCGATATCCAATCAACGTGATTTTTTACAAATATATAGTACCCGACGAATTTTACACATTGAACGGTTCCGATTAGAAAAACAGGACCCATGGTAGGCCTCCACAGGCTGAACAACACCGTCCAATCCAAGCCCGAAAAGGAGACAATTTTTTCTCATGCATTCACCCAGCCGACTGACTGTCAATCCGTACAGTGTACTACACTATCTTCTCCTACACACTTATTTATACCATTTTTAATACACATTTTTTCATAAAAAGTCAAAAAGTTAACCCAAGCATCCATATTTTTTTCCTCAACTTTTTAGTCCAAAAAGATAAAAAATACACTTATTTAACACACCCCAAACAACCCCTTAAATTGATGAAATTAAAATTATAAAATCAAAGTGAAATCTCACTAAAAATATAGGGATCAGTAGTGTAAATTTACCCAAGGAATTACTCACCAACAAAGAACTCCAATCTCTTGCTCAAAAACCACTTATTTAGTACTATTCAAAAATTTTGAGCAAATTCCATTGTTTTAGGCTCTCAAACAAACAATTTTAATGTAATTTTTTACATGAAGTAAGTTACTATGAGCCTAGTTAAAACTCCGTCATGCCAATTTATCAATCTTGAATAAAATATTATCATGATCTTAAATCTTGATTATGGTCATAATCATCATAATGCAAATTGTGAGATGCTTATCTGTACTATCTATAAATAGTCATTAACCCTAGCTTAGCATTCACACAACAAAACGCTAGATGTGGTTTTTAACTTTTCTTTGCCTCTTGGTCACATGAAATGAGATTATTCTTATATTAGATTTTAAAAAAGATGCATTTAGTTTCTTCCATATTAGTAGATAGATAGTCACATGAAACAGATGCAATTTGTCTTTATCTAATTTCTCACGTAAAGTTCCTCCAACCTTTTTTCCTAGAATTTATTTTGTGCCACCATCTTTAGTCCTTTATTAGATGACAAAATGTAGATGGAGTGAGTTCAATATCTTTCTAAACAATTAGTAGAAGGGAAATCGGGAAAGAATAAATAAAATTAATAAAAATTTTCATTAATCATAATAGTGGTTACATTTATATCAAACAATTCTCTTATTTTTTGTGACATTTACATCAAACTACAGTAAGATTGGAATCTAAATATTGCATATTTTAAGAACTGCTTTTTGTGTCATTGTTCTTCCTCCACCCACCCAAATCTCACAATCAAGGAAAGGAAAACTGCACTGCACAAGTGAGACTCGAACTTAACAAAATTTTCCTCTCTCCTGCCCTCCTCTAAATCTCACAATCAAGAAAAGGAAAATTACACACAGTGAAATTTGAACTCAAACGTCACGATAAAAGAATACCATTTTGTGTCATTGTTTTCGTTCACCCACCCAACCAACCAAATCTCACACCACTTGATCCCCTCTAGAAAAATGGGTCTTGACTTCTTTCTTCCACAATAGTTTCTTGGGTGTTGTGTTAAAACTTTTGCTTCCCCAATGAAAAATTGACCTTTAACTTGTCATTTCATACTAGGAATTGGTTTCTAGATATGGGTTTTCTTTTTATCAATCATATGGGGAAGAAGTGGCTTTTCATGTGAGGGTTCTAACTCAAATTTTTTATACATAGACTCTGATATTTTGGGTAAGAAGTTTGGGGTGTGATATGGGGAAACTCAGTCTTGGGAGGGTGTTGGATTGCCTTTGTCTTTCTTCTAACTCAAGCTCTTGTTTCTGCATCAATTCTTCGGAAAACAAAGATGAGTTTGAGAGAAAGCCATTGGTTGCAAGTGAAGGTGGCAATTTGGTGAAACTGAAGGATGTTCTTGAAGAGCCCCAGACACTTGCTTTCCAATTGAAGCCCAAGGTGAGTTGCTTCAATGTTTACTCACTTTGTTGTTTTTATAATTTTTTTATGTAACAGTATGTTTGGCTATTGAGAAATTTTGTGTCTACTGAAATGGTAAACAAAATTTTGAAACTTACATTCTTGTCACCTATCATTGTAAAAGAAGAAATGAAAGAAAATCTCTCCATATTGAAAGAATCCGAAGCCTAAACAAGATTTCTGAATAGACTTTGGATTATCTATCCCACGAATGCTATGTCCACTTGTTCTAATTTATGTACAATCACTTGATCATATTTAGAGATTCTCACATAATATAATGATTGTGAGTGAATTGAGATTGAAAAGTAAAATTTTTGTAACATGAGTTGTTTTTAAGCCTATTTGGAAATATTTTGATTTTCTATTTTTGGTCCACTAAAAAATAAGATGAGTCGTTTGGGAACAAGTTTTTTTAGTAATTTCTTGACTTTTTGACTAAAATATGATGTAAAAAAAACTTGTATGTTTAAGATGACTTTTTAATTTTTTACGAAAAGATGTGCAAAAGTAGAGAGAAAATGAAATATTTGAATTTTTGGTATAAGTTGTTGGTTTTTTTATTTTTTTAGTGACTTTTAGACTAAAAAGTGATATTGTCAAACGAGGCATAAGACTATTTGGATTTTTATTTTTATTTTTTTCAATTTACAAAAAAACATGAAACTAGGGAAACTTGTTTGGTATTGTTTCCGGATTTTTTTTTTTCAAAAATTACCCACTTTTTAGGAAATATCAAAATGTTATTGTTGAATTAAAAAAAAAAAACTATTTTCAGACAAAAATAAAAAATGAGGGATGTATAAATCTGATTTTTGGAAATCAACCAACTCATAATCAAATAAGCTTTTAAATCTGATTGTTGATTTGGAATGAGTATGTTGATTTCCAACATTAGTGGAATAAAAAAAAACTCATTTAATTTGTGTTTGATGACTAATAATGTAGATGGTGGTGCTAAGGGTGTCAATGCACTGCAATGGTTGTGCAAGAAAAGTTGAGAAACACATCTCAAAGATGGAAGGTATGCTAAATATAAGCATTTCTAGTTTCAGAATATTACCGACTAAGCTCTTAAATTAGCATTCATCACAAAAATGACATATTTTTCTTTGGCTTTGACTTGTCTCCAGTTAAAAGCTAAACTAGATCATACAATTAAGGTCTCTGACCGGAAAGAATCATTAAACGAAAGACTCTTATCGGTAAGATTTTATAAAAATATGGTCCAATTGAATTTTTTCAAAAAGTCTTATCAGTAAGAGTTTTCCGTTTAAAAATTCTTCTCAATTAAAATCTTCTGTTTAATGATTCTATCCAGTCAAAAATTTCAACTGTCTGACCTAGTTAAAATCTCAACTAGAGACAAGTCATTCCATTTTTGTTTCCACGGCTTCATTGTGTGTGTGTATGAATTAACTACATAAAACATGCTGTCGATATGAGAATTCATGGCAAAAGAAAAATAATTGAATGTCAAAGTTCAATCTATTGAGTTGATTCTATTAATCCAGTAGATTTTGTTTCTTGTGGATGTGAATGCACATAGTTTTTTTTGTTTTTCTTCTTTTATTTCAACATTTACATATATACGTTATTAAATCATGCAAAATATTCATAATGCTCGCACATTATTAAACCATACATTATTAAACCATTGTAAAAAGTCACATGGACACCCATTTGAGTAGTCAAAGTAATTTTTTATAAATTTGTTCGTATTTATATTTTCTCATTCACTTTTAACACTATAAATTTGTATCCTACCCTATCTTAACCTAAAGGAAATAGGAAGAAAATTTAAATACAATTACTTGAGCCAAGTTAGGCTTCGTTTGGAAAGCCCAACTTGGGGCTTTTATGATTATTTTAGTCACAAAAAATAAAATAGACTTTTTAATCCAATAAGATAAAATATCACATCCAACTCATAATCATTACATTTTTTCTCTTACAAAAAGTTAAAAAGCCAAAACACATTCCCAAACCAGGCTTTTTAGCCCCATACTAAAATAGCCAAAAAAACCAAAGAGTTAAAAAGCCAACCCACTTCCCAAACGAACCCTTAATATATTTTAGGTTTTCTTCTCTTCAGTTGACAGAATAATTCAATCTAAAATATGTAAAGATATAATAATAATAATAATAATCTAAACTTATCGGGTTATGTGGGCGAACTTAAAGTTTAAATTTCTTTTAGGGCTAAACTTGAAATGATTATATTAGACCCAATGTCAAATTGGTATTAGACCCAATGTCAAATCTGGTTAAGCTTAAGGTGATAGATATTAGATATGTTGTTACTAGTATGCAAGTTCAAATGGTTGTTTGTTCATCCTAAAATCAACCATTGAAGGACTCTATGTCCACTAAAAAAATTGACATTTTGACAACATAAATTTACCAAAAATAGCTTTGGAAATGCTATTATAATCACAACCATTGAATTTCCTCTTATAACATTATTCTTTAGGCTCAACTCTCTAAGGCACCGTTTGGGAAGAAGAATATGTGATTTTTTTTGACTATTTTAGCCACAAAAGACAAAATAGGCTATTTTAGCCACAAAAAATAAAACATCACAATCAACCTATAATCATTACACTCTTCTCTCACAAAAAAAGTCAAAAAAGTCAAAAAACCAAAAAGCTCTTCCCAAACCAATCTTTTTAGTCCAGGCTAAAATAGTCAAAAAAGTCAAAAAACCAAAAAGTCAACCTACTTCCCAAACCAACCCTAATTAATTAAAGAAATATCCAACTCCAATTTCCAATATAGAAATTGTATTGACCCAAAAAAAATTGTTCCAAATTTTTACGTTTTTGTGTGATAAAAATTGAATTTTATAATATATGATCAAGTATAGAACGAATCTGAGATTATTTTTATGACTAATATTTGTGTGTGTATCACAGGGGTGACATCGTACGAGATAGACCTGGAAACCAAAATGGTAGTAGTAATAGGAGACATTGTTCCATACGAAGTGTTGGAGAGTGTTTCTAAAATCAAGACTGCAGAGCTCTGGACACCTCCCTCCTCCCAATGAGAATTGACAAGCAAAGCAACCAATCCAATCCCAACAAAAATGTCCCAAAAAGAAATATAAAATACACTTACATTTCATATTTTCTCACCATCACCATAGTCTATTATAACCAGTATTGTGTACATCAAAAAGGAGAATTACATCCCTATCCAAGTTTTCTGGTGTTTACAGATCAAATTGTCATTTTATGACTAGCCTTCTTGGTAATGGCTCCTACTTTTATATGAGTTGTGTATATATGTTTTGAAAAGTTGGTAAAAAGTTAATTTTTAACTTTTTACTAAGTTTTTTAGCTTTTGGAAAGTGATTTGGAAAGTTAAAAAGCTGATTTTTTGCTTTTTAGTTTAACATTTATTTATGGTGTCAAATCAAATTAAAATGATCAAAATACCCTTACCCAAAATAAGAATTTTATTTTTTTATTTTTTTCATAGGCCCTAGTTTGTAATTTTACACCTGCGTTTTTAGCACTCGCCAAACCAATTTTCGCATTTTTGGCACTTGCGTTTTTGGACATTTATCTAAAAACGTGACTTTTTGCTATGTTTCCAAAATGACACATACACTATAATCTAAGCATCAAGTACTGTGTTGTCGAAATTAATATCTTAGACCCAGTAATAATAATATGATAGTCGTCATGGAGTGGATGTCGGATTTCGAATTCCATTTGACTATCAAAGCAATATGTGTGTTGTCCTCAGTTTGTGCCCAGAAAACAATATGCAGTTTTGTACTTTTCTCCTAGGAAAAGTTACAATTTTTTGTGATATAGGTTATGAATTTTTTTTGTAATAAAAGTTATGAATCATAAAATTATAATATGCACTTAAAAATTATGTGTTGTTAAAGTTATACTTTTTGTGAGAAGCAAAAAATTATATTTTTTGTCAAGATACTTTTTGTGACAAAAGGTAGCTTGTTTGGAAATTAATTACTTTAGTTAATTTTTTAATTTTTTACGAAAAGATATACAAAAAGGTAATAAGAGCAATGTGATAATATGGTTTGGCCTTTTGACTATTTTAACCAACAAGCCATATGCCAAATACACTTTGTTGTGATAAAGACTTTTTGTATAAGGTGCATACCAATGCACACACTAGCATTTCTCATATATAATTGTATTCGAATTATGAATTTGAATATGAATTTAAAAAAAACAATGGAGAAAAAAATTACTTATAGTGGAAAGAATCTCAGAACATATAAATATCGGGATATAATCCAATTATTAAAAATTATTGAGATACAATGATAAAAAAATTACCAAAAAAAAATAAAAATAGAAGATTTTATGTGCTTTTACACTTCCACCATAACGTAGGATTTGATCGTTGCATCCCATTAGAATTTACGTTGTTGCAATTGAAGACTCCATTTTGTTTGTTAGATTAAATTAGATGAGATTATTAGTAAAACATAATTGAAAATGTAAGATAAATTATATTTGTTTGTGTATACTATGGTGATATTAATTGATTATGTGAATTTATGTAAAATTCTTCAATATATAAAATGATAGTTTTATTATTTTTGTAAAGTGAGAGTGTAATGGTTACTTTGGTGGGATGACATTAGTTGATTTAGATTAAATTTATGAATTTATATAAAAACCCTTAACATGTAAAATATAAATTTATATTTTTGTAAAGTGTAATGGTGACGTTGTATTACTTATAAATTAATGAAGTTTTCTTGATATATTTTTGTTGATGAACTTACCATGTTTGGTATATTTTATGAAGGTATTTAGTTTTTTATATTAAAAATATGTATTAGAGTATTTGGTATTATTTATAATTTATGAGATATAGTAATAATTTAAATAAATTTTTAGAAAATAATCATTAAGAATAGTGAATTTTAGATTGTAATCTTTTATCTAGTACCAAAATGAAATTTTGTTGAGCAGATCAACATGTTTGGCTAACAAGTTAGTTACAAGGCCAACTAACTACCACATACTATACTGTTCACCAATCTCCTTCACCTACCCCCAATTAGAGAAGTTATTAGTTGGTTTTGAGACTTCGCTCTATGATGTTCCAATGATATTATGATTTGTAAAGAAAGTAGAGCTTACAAATTTATATTGAGTGATTGAATAATATGAAAATATATGATAAATTGTGACCAGGGAGAAGTTTGGTCACGTGATACCCTTAAACAAATCGATAATTTTCTATAACACAATCAATTCGTAATCAAATCCTTTTCTCTCCCTCTCTCAAAGTCAACTTCATCATGCACAAAAATGAGAAAATATCATGTTATCTCTCAAAATATTATGTGAAAATTAATAAGGCACTTAGGGTGTGTTTGGTTTGTGTTTGTGGAGTAGTTTTTGAGATAAAAAGTACGAAAACTTGTTTGGTTTACTTTTTTCAGAAATAATTTTGGAAAATTATTTTAGGAGAGAGAGTTTTAAAAAAAAGTGATTGATTTAATGTGTATTTTACTCTGTCTCATTTTAATTTGATAATTCAAATTTTTAAAATTTGATGAATTTACACTCTTCATCTAATTTCGTCTACAATCAAATAAAATGTGCTAATGTGGTACCAAATTTTATTTGGAACTTTATTTTACCTTCCAAATTATACTTTAAAAATCAATTAACCCCTCAAATATTAAAAAATAATTTAAATATTTAATTAATAATTTTTATCTGGAAAAAAAAGAAGAAGAAAAGAGTATTAATCCTGTTGAGTATTCTTTAAACAACAATTGCTAATTTTTGTGTTAAATTGTCATTCAATTGATGATACGACCGAATACGTAATCTCAATTTTTTAGCCAAATTTCGACATATTCATTTTTATCGTTCAATATAAATTTGTAAATTTGTTTCATAATAAATGCGATCTAAATTTTTACCCACTCTATTTTGAAATTACTATTAGTCAATTAATTATATTAAAATTAATTTAAAAAATAAACTAATTATAATCACACACAAGTAGCCATAAATTTTTTAGCTCAATTAGTTTTTTTGAGATTTAAAGAGACAAATCTAAAAAGGAATTTTTATATTTTTTTCAATTATTTTTTGCAAAGTATATTATTTAAATTTTAATTTTTTATAATTGACATAAAAAATATTTATTAAAATTTAATTTTTTTATAATTGACATAAAAAATATTTATTAAATATTTAAATCTAAATTTTTATATATTTAAAGACTAATTAATTTTTAAAATATAATTGGAAGAGTAAAGTAAAATTTTAAATAAAATTTAGTGTGACACAACCAAATTAGGCACAGAAAGTAAATTAATAAAATTTCAAAAAATTTAGTTCACCAACAATGGCAAACCCTCTCTTCATCATCCTCGTCTCTACCCCTTTCCTCTCCAAACCATAACCCTAACCCTAAACCCTAACGCATCATCATCAGCACCACCGCTCACCGCCCGCAGAGAGCTCACCAACTATGGCTTCCCCACCACCGTCCTCACCTACTCCCTCAACCACTCCTCCGGCCACTTCTCCCTCCCGGCAACTACCTCGCTACCTACTCCAAGCTAATCACAGGCAAAATCGTGTTAGGGCTTTCTTCAAATGTTGGTCCATCACCGGAATCAAATCCGACGGTGAGGATTTGGTGTTTGAGGTCGGTTTGGTCACTGTTAAATATCCTTCCAACAACTTCGACGGCAGTCCCGAGTGCGAGGGCAAGCGATTGGCTTCTTAAGGTACGAATGTGTTCGCAAGGTTCGATTTTTCTGATCCAATTTATATATATGATGTACATTTCTATATTGATGAGTGTTTATCTGTATAAGTAGTGTTTTACTTTGATGTGTTAATTTATCCGATAGTTGGGCCATGTTCTTCTAGTTGTTAGTTCTTGTGAATTTCAGAAGAGACAATTAGTGAGGGAAATGAAATTTCCAGCCAAGTTATTGTTGCTTTTAGTGAGATTTTGTTGGCATTGACCATCAAGTGCTTTAACTGGGTTTAGAAATAAATGTCAAGCCTTTGTGTATTTACCTGAGATTTTCTTGGATTATAACTTGAGTGGTGCTGTACAATGAGTAAATTCTATAGAATTATTATATAGATATAACACTTGTCACTATGGGTCATAATTGTAAGAAGAGTGATTGCATAATGATGTTGCTCGAATATGGATTTCACTTTCTAATGAAACACCCATGAAGACGTCTTTAATTTACAAGAAAAAGAAAGAACATCCTCACGTCACGTCATTACTGTTTTATTTTATTTTATTTTTATTATGAATTTTCTATAAGAATAGAGTTTCCTTTGTTATAACGACTCTGACACATTGTTCTGGAATAGCGCTGCCACATAATTTTAGAAGAAGATTTTGAATAAAATATCTGGTTATCGTCTGTCTGTACTCGATCATTTATATGAATATATGATATGTCGTAAAACTGTTCTTTTTAACTGAATTTAAATCAATATGCTTCTACCCTCTACATTGCTGAGATCATGAAGTTTGTTTCCTTTGCTTTTCTTGTTTTCTTTTAGGGTTTGTTTTTGGGTTGCAATTTGAATATATATATATATATATATATTTATGGAGATGTTGGACATCACATTCTAGAGGATATGGACTACAGACAATTTTCATTGTTTTCTGTTACTAAACTTTCAATAAAACCAAGGATTTTTTTATAATGGACGGATTGGTTTAATTGGATACACGTGATGTTGCCACTTGCAATGTGGGGGGTATACTAAATTATGGCTGAAAGGTTTTTTTCTTTCTTTTCTTTAATAGTTCCAGTGCATTGTAGGAATTCTCTTTGTCTTTAAGCATTAACTTAGGATGGTGCTTGTTTTATTATTGGTGGTAGGAATTGCTTGGGCCTTTCACTTTATGTGGTTCTTGTTTTCTAATTTTTGTCTGTATGTAATTGCTATGTTCATTCTTGTCAAAGCATATGATAAATAACCAAAAGGTGTAAATTTAATTATAATGGGTTTGTTTTCTTTTGTTTGGATGGAATATGTTCTCCTCTGAAGTATATTTTTTTTCTTCTATTCAATTATGGATTTGTTTGTAGTTTTGATTATATCTATGCAATTGATATCCTGCTATACTTTTTAATACTGTTTGGCTTTGTTCTCTCTCTCTCTCTCTCGATTAATTGGCTTTGTTCTAATTAATGGAGTATTACCTTTTTCCTCAAAAGGATTTAGAATCTTAAGGGACCAGGTGCTTATCAAGCCATTGTTAGTCTGTAATCTCATCAAAAAACTGAAATGATCCCATGAAGCTGTTAGACTGTGTAAAACTTATTGGTGACTAAAGAATTGAGGCAACTAGTGTGATGATTTCTAATTTTGCTTTAGTTGATCTTTTGAGTAATTGCAAAAAATTTTAATGGCAAATTACACTTACGCTGTGTTTGGTTGAGGGATTTGGGGAGTGATTTGGAAAACGAAAGAGAAAATGTGTGTGAAACTAGGTGAAATGTAAGTATATATTTTTCATATTCCACCTACCTTTTCTCTTTCTATTTCCAAATCTCTCTTCAAATCCCCTAACCAAACACAGTATCAACACTCCTTGAGGTTTATGACAATTATAGATTTTTTAAGAGATTGAGATTAGTCAAAATCTAGGAAGCACGGATACGGATACGGGATACGGATACGATACGATACGGATACAGCGATACGACAAAATTTGAAAAACTAGGATACAGGTACGGCGGGGATACGTTCGTAAAAAATATTATTTTAACAATTTTTAGTAATGCAATATGTATAAAAATAAAACCTAAAGCAAAAGACAACTTGATAAAGAAGAAAGATTCCTATAAAACTAAGAGTCTTCAAGGTCAAGAGTCTTCAACTTGTTCCCCTTCATCATTGAATATCACAAGACCTTAGCTAGAGCCAAAAAACCATTCTTAAATAAAAATTTCAGCAAATATACTTTTTTAAGTCATCAATGATAGCCTAGGAAACACGGATACGAATATGGTGATATGGGGATGTGGATATGGCAATATGTCAAAATTTGAAAAACTACGATACAGGTACAACGGGGATACATTCATAATTTTTTTTTTTTATATAATTTTAATAATGTAATATGCATGAAAATAAAACTTAAAGGAAATTAATAAATAAGGAGAGAGATTCCTATTAACCTAAAAGTGCTCAAACATTCATAAAACATCCAAAACTAAAAGCAAAAGCAAATGCAAATACAAATGCAAATTAAACATCATCCTTACATGCCAACACCAAAAAAAGAATGAGAGCAGAGAGTAGAAACGTGAGAGAGTGAAAAAGTGAGAGAAAAGTGAGAGAGACAACAAGGATACATCAATTTGACAAATTCTATTACTTTAACTCTCACTATATTCCTCTTATCAAAGAACTAAACAAAATATTATAAGTAATATATAACCTCGAGTATCCGATACTTCAAAATTAATAAAAAATTAATTAAGAAGTATCTGATACGTATCCGCGAGTATCCGAGGAGTATCGGTATCCGATACGATACGTCACCCTTTTTGAAATATCCGTGCTTCATAGGTCAAAATGGAGTCTGACTTGATATATATATATATATGTAGAAGTACACACAAAAAGTGGGTAAGGGTAAAAATGTAAAACAACATGCTCTGTTAATAACCACCCCTGGATAACTCTGATAGGAAAAGTGTTTGCTTAAGGGGTGTCTTTGTAATTTGTTAATCTCTTAATGAGGGGAGTGTTTGCATGTTCTAAGGAATTTTGATAATTAAAATGTATTGTATTTGTATGTATGCTTTGTGAATCTATCATCTTTAATAAATCCATTAACTAGTAGGATGGCTCTAATCATCACAATTATGTCTGGGAAAAATTATCTTCTCATGTTATTAAAACTTAGTTGATTCTTTAGCATCAATTTTGTCATGACTTGTATAACCTTTACTCTTTAGGATTGCACGACCACAATCCTATATCTTTCAGAATGTGTGAAGGGCTTTGTTGTCATAGTTGTCTTGTTGAGCTTGATGCTTGAAGTTTCCATATTTAACTGGTTTCTGAAAATGAAGGTATTGATAGACTTATGAATGCTATAGCATCAAAGCAATTGAACCATGTGGGTGATCTAGTTAGTCATCCAGTGTTCCTGGTTGCAAACTGTAAGCCAAGTTTAAGTTTACCCTTACACAACGTGACAGTCAAGCTCAATGGATTCCGCATAATGATTTGTCATTTGATGTTGTAGCAAACACAAAGCTATACGTCTTAGACTGAGTATTTTAGTGAGCTTCTTGATTATGTGCATTCTACTTTTACAAGTTCTCATTATGCTTCAACTAAGAGACTGGAATACTAAGATTATAATGGTATGATTTTTTTATGCAATTTACTTGAAAAGAAAATGATCAAGATGTATCTGTATCTCCTATTTATCAACCGAAAAAAAAAATAAAAATAAAAATAAAAAAATAAAAATAAATGATCAAGATGATAAAAAATGATCAAGATGTATCTGTATCTGTATCTTCTATGACTATTATTATTTTATTATTATTTTCTATGAAATTAATATTCTTTGTTGCACTTGTAAGGCTTTCTTATATTTCATTGTGGTCAGTGTATCTGTATCTCCTATTTATCAACCGGAAAAAAAAATAAAAATAAAAAAAATAAAATAAAAATAAATGATCAAGATGATAAAAAATGATCAAGATGTATCTGTATCTGTATCTTCTATGACTATTATTATTTTATTATTATTTTCTATGAAATTAATATTCTTTGTTGCACTTGTAAGGCTTTCTTATATTTCATTGTGGTCAGAATGATGAAGAGTTATACCATTGCACGGGTTTGCTTTTCTCCACTTAGGTGTGAAATTATTATGCTCTGAACTCATATAGATGAAATGCCGCAAATTAAATTTTTGTTTTTTTATCCCTTTTCCTTCTCTTGCAGATCTCTTTCATCGGCTGCTTCCATGGATTAGATTATGGATTAATTTTGTTGGTAAGTTTAGGCAATGAAGCACTCAGCAAATTTTAATACATTATTAGGAGTTTATGCTTTTCGAACATTAAGAACAAAATGCCTCTGTAAGAATGTTTCTCAGTTTTTGTGTATTGTATATAAGCTCTGTGGTTTCTCCATTGGTGTTACTTTATCTTGGTATATAAAGCTCCGTTGCTTGGAATTCGCTTGAATTATTTTAAAGTTTAAAGTGCAAAATTAGTGGGAATTGCTTAAGAAGTTGTAGATGATCTGGCATCATCATTGTCTCTCTTTTTCAAAGTTCTACTTTTTTGAATTTTTGTGCAAAGGCTACTTTCTTCTTCTGTTGTTGTTGTTGTTGTTGTTGTTGTTGGTTTTTTTTTTTTTTTTTTTTTTTTTTTTTTTTTTTTTTTTTTCCAAATGATTATTTAAAATATTTTGCGGAAATATTATTTTGCCTTCTAAATTTTTACACATTTTTGAATTTGACCTTCATATTTTGATTAATATTAATTTTACATCAAAACTTTTGAAATTGTGATCAATTTGGCTCATGTTATCACATTTCATCTATAATTAGACAGAATGTACTGGTGTAGTATCAAAGTTCATTTGGAATTTCATTTTTGCCCTTAAACTATATCTTAAAAATCAATTTGCCTCCCAAATAAAAAAAATTAAATTTAAATATTTAATAAATAATTTTTTATCCCTATTATGAAAAAATTAAATTTTAAATAATATGTACTTTGCAAAAAAAAAAAAAAATCTTCATTTAGAATTATCTTGAGACTATGAGATAATTCGATAGACGTGTCGTACTTATATTACGTACTTACCTAAGTATCATATTTCTGTATATGTATCGGATACACAAAACACATATTCAAATTGTTTTTTCTTAATTTTTGACATACCCAGACGTATCTAGTATATACTCAAATCATGTCGTACCTTAGTCGAAACAGTATTTTCTTCTATTACAAAGATAACATTTATTTTTCTTGACTTTTTTTTCATTTTTAGTTTTGTGCTTAGCATGGTTTTAAAATTAAGGGATGTTTTGTAAGTTATTTAATATAATGATATTTTATTTTAATTTATCTTATACCTGTACATTTGGCATTAAATGTCTCAATTGTATGTTAGATTTAACAAATTAAACTATTTAATCAATTTTTGTATTATTCTAAATTAAAAATAAATATTTTTTTACAAACATATTAAATTGTACCCGTACCCTACTTTTTTTTTAATTTTACCGTATTGACATACCCGCATCGTATCAATACTAGTATTTATACCTATACCTGTGTTTCATAGGTCTCCAATTATCTTGAGTCGATTTTGGAGAAACTTATTGAGTCAAAAATTTCTTAGCTACACTATATGTGTATGCGTGTGCAATTGTAACTAGTTTATTACTCAAATTAATTTCAATAGAATTAATTGACTAATAGTAATTTTAAAATTGAGTGAGAAAAAAAATTCAAAATTCGATAAGTACCCGATACAGGTACGACATGTTTGTCGTAGTACGGATGTTTCATAGTCTCAAGATAATTTTAAATAAGAATTTTTATATTTTTTGTTGCAAAGTATATATTATTTAAAATTTAATTTTTTCATTATTAAGATAAAAAATTATTTATTAAATATTTAAATTTATTTTTTTATATTTGGGGGGTAAATTGATTTTTAAGATATAGTTTGGGAAGTAAAATGAAATTTCAAATAAACTTTGGTGTCACGTTAGTACATTCCGTCCACTTGTAGACAGAATGTGATGGCAGGGGCTAAATTGATTAAAATTTTTGAAGTTTAAATATAAAATTGATATTAATTGAAATCTGAAGATCAAATTGAAAAATACATGAAAATTTGATAAACAAAATGATATTTCCTCAAAATTTTCTCACCATTAGTTCATAGCTTTTTTCTTTCTTTCTTTCTTTCTTTCTTTCTTTTTTTTAGGGAAAATTGTAGAAAAATGAAGAGTAATTGAAACAAATGCAAAAATGTGAGAAAATTAAAAATAGATGTAGCAGAGATGGAACTTAAAGTTATTTACAAAAACATGGTGAAAATTACACTTTTGCCTTCCAATTTTTTGCCCTCAGCTTCTCTGCAGCGGTTCAAAAGAGTGAGAGTGGTGTCTGGCAGAAAAATGGGAGAGACCATATTTTTGTTGTTAATTTTTAAGTTATTGTCTCTTGTTAAAGTTGTAAATGAGTTAAGTCAAATCTTAGGTCAAGTTTGGCATGTGCTTAAAAAGTTAAAAAAATAAAAAATTATTTAAAAAGTTAAAAAATTATCACTATTCACCAAAAGTCAAAAAGTACGGCTGCACAACTCTCAATCTTAATTTTCCCCTACACACTAATTTCTACAATTTTTTAATACACATTTTTTCATAAAAAGTCAAAAAGTTAACCCAAACAACTATTTTTTTTTCTCAACTTTTTAGTTTAAAAAGTCAAAAAGTACACTTATTTAGGACATCCCAAACAATCCCTTATTGAGCTCGAATTTGGCTCTTTGACTTATCGAACTCATTTATTGAGTTCAAACTCAGCTCGATAAATAATTTGATTCGAGCTCGGCTCGGCTTATTAATATTAATGAAACTCAAGTTCGGTTTGACTCGATTCGGTTTGAATTGATACGATTTTTTTAATATTATTTATATAAAATATTTAAATAAAAATAAATGAATCAAACTTTTTTGAATTCGAACTTGATTCGTTTATTAAATAAGTCTAACATTCGAGTTTGAACTCAAACTCAACTCGTTTGAGCTAAACCTTAACGAGTCAAATCCAACTTGTATGTAAATGGTTTGATTTATTTACAGTCCTATCTCTCAGGAAAGTTTTTTTTATTCTTCTTATTTTTACAATTATTCCTACAAATCATTATTTTGCAATTTTTTAATTATTTTTTTGTTTTTTAAATTCTGTTTCCAAACAGTGTTTTTGTCACACTTGGTTCGCCTTCAACTGTATGTAAATGGCTTGATTTACTTACAGTCCTATCTCTCAGGAAAGTTTTTTTTATTCTTCTTATTTTTACAATTATTCCTACAAATCATTATTTTGCAATTTTTTAATTATTTTTTTGTTTTTTAAATTCTGTTTCCAAACAGTGTTTTTGTCACACTTGGTTCGCCTTCAACTTATGAGGCAATTGTCAGTTGTCAGGCAATCAATGTAGGAAATTATTTGAAATCATTAATATATATTCCTTCCAACCTGTTGGTAGAAAGCACGTATAAATGTGTGGGCGACACTTAGCTAAGATTTTGGAGTTTAGTTCTAAAGTCTCAAGTATCACTTTCTTTGAGGGAAGTTATAAAATGAATTTTTTAAATTTGGATAAATCATACCCAGTGTTAGAGATATGGGTTTGAATTCTCAATTATGTATAAGTCCGTGACTTATCGCTACATAATTGAATAGTCCTGTTATGTAGCAATCACCTTAGAGTAATCTCTGGGTCTCGGCTCTTTTTCTATATACATCCTATCACAAAATGTATAATTTTATTATTTAAAATTTCTTAATATCAATCATAAAATATGTAATCTAGTTATAAATTGATGTAACAAAAAAATCATAATCAAGTCACAAACTTTTACACTATCAACTATAAAATTTTAGATATTTTATTATGTTAATTTGTGATAAAATTATATATTTTATAATTAATATTATAAAATTTTATAATAAAATTACGTATTTTGTGATACGTTCGTATGATTTAAAGTCAGTAATATCAAGCCACGTTTTGAAAAAAAAAACATGCCTTTGGCAAATAAGTTAAAAATAGCAACGAGTTTAGGAAATTTATTACAAAAATACGAGGGTTTGGTAAAAAACTCTATCAACCATGCTGGGGACCAGCACCCCACCTCCGGGCTGTGAGACCAAGAGTAAGAAAAAAAAAATAAAAAATTGAACCAATCAAAAAATAGTAGGGGTGATGGGGTCACCCCACTGGGTCTGGGCCATTTTCCAAAACTTTATATAGTTTCCTATTCTCAATCCAACAGTGTATATGGGGATGGGTATCAAGATAGAATAGCAACAGCTGCTCTTTTCTTTTCTTTTATAATCTTTCTCTATTGAAGAAATATCATTTTACCTTTTAAATTTTTACATATTTTTTAATTTGATCTTTAGATTTCGATTAATATCAATTTTATATTTAAATTTTAAAAATTTTAATTAATTTGGCCCCTATCGTCACATTCTGTCTACAATTTGACGGAATGTGTTGACGTGATACCAAAATTCATTTGAAATTTCATTTTTCCTCCCAAAATATATCTTAAAAATCAATTTGTCCCTTACGTCAGGACATTCTGTCTAATTATAAACGAAATGTGATGGCAGAGGCCAAATTAATTAAAATTTCAAAAGTTTAAGTGTAAAATTTATATTAATCAAAGTATGGAAGTCAAATCGAAAAATTAAATTTAAAATAATATATATTTTGCAAAAATATATAAAAATCTCATTTAGAATTATTTTGAAACTATAAAACATGGATACTTCAACAAACATGTCGTACCATACTTGCTGAATTTTAAAATTTTTTTCCCACTCAATTTTTAAATTACTATTAGTCGATCAATTCTATTGAAATTAATTTGGGTAATAAACTAGTTACAATTGCACACGCATACACACATAGAGTAGCTAAGAAATTTTTGGCAATAAGTTTCTCCAAAATTAACTCGAGATAATTTGAGACCTATGAAGCACAAGTACGGGTATGAGTACTGGTATTGGTATGATACGGGTACGTCGACAAAGTAAAATTAAAAAAAGAGTAGGGTATGGGTCTGGGTACGGGTACGACTTAATACGTTTGTAAAAAAATATTTATTTTTAATTTGAAATAATACAAAAATTTATTAAATAGTTTAATATGTTAAATTCAACATACAATTGACATTTAATGCCAAAAGTACAAGTATATGATAAACCAAAATTAAATATCATATATTAAATAACTTACAAAACATATCTTAATTTTAAAACCATTCTAAGTATAAAACTAAAAATAAAAAAAAAATCTTGTAAAAGAAATTTTTTCTCTGTAGTAGAAGAAAATATTGTTTCCACTGAGGTACAACACGGCTTGGGTATATACTAAATATGTCTGGGTATGTCAAAAATTAAAAAAAAAAGATTTGAGTATGTGTTTTGTG